CGCAGGTGGGCCCCTCGCGGCGCGGGTCCTCCCGCCGGGTGGGCCGGTGCGAGCTGACTCCAGGCGAGCGCCCGGTCGCCCAGGACGCCCGGCCAAAACGTTGGTCTGCTGTGCCTGGCCGCGGACACCTGTGTTCACCTTATGTTATACAAGTCCTGGGGCTTAAGGGTCTATTTTTCGAAACATTGTATTTGATTTTCAATTTCTAGGACCCTACCCCCATGAATGGCGTTTTATTTTTTTGAATTAGAGTCTCACTCTGTCGCCCAGGCTGGAGTGCAGTGGCACACTGACGGCCACCCCAGCCTCGACCTGCTGGGATCCGGCGATCCTTCCACCTCAGCCTTCCAAGTAGCAGGAACTACAGGCGTGCGCTACCACGCCCGGCTGATTTTTTGATTATTGTAGAGATGAGGTCTCGCCAAGTTGCCCGGGCTGGTGTCGAACCCACGGGCTCAGGCAACCCACCCACCTTGGCCTCCCAAAGTGCTGGGATGACAGGCCGAATTAATGGTGTTTTGAAGCTGCCCTTCAGGAAGTAAACGTGTTGACGGTACCTTTAAGATAAAATCATGAAATTCACAGCAAATTGGATGGAGATGGAGACCATCCTACACAGTGATCTCTCACAGAAAGAAAGAACTAAATACCAAGTGTTGTCCCACATAAGTGGAATCTGAACATTTATCACATTTGCACAAGGGTAGGATCAGCAGTCGAGGGACGCTGTCAGGGGAGGGAGAGAAGGAGGGACAGAGGGAGCATCGCCAAGGGTACCTGGCCCTAAACCAGAGGAAGTGAGAGTCAGCTGGAGGTCCAAACTTCAACCTGCACATAGCCTGCTTGTGTAGCGAATCCTGACTTGTGCCCCATGTATCTGTAATTTAAAAATAAAATAAAACTTAGAAAAAAACAAAAAAGATTTAGGAAGAGAATCTAGGACTTGAGCTGTCCTGAAGCCGCCACCCACCTTGGGGGATTTTCGAGGTTCCGTGAGAGCCCATCCCTGAACTATTGCACCGCCGACGCGAGAAATTCCTTTTAGTGGACAGGGCTCTCGTCGTCGTCCACAATTGAAATGAAAGACTCAAAATATAAAGCACACTTGGGAGGGATAGCACGTTGGCTGCATCCCTATTGAGTCATGCAGATCCTCAACCCTTTCTGGGAGGGTTTTAAGAGCTCGGAGGAGTGAATCACACACAGTCTGCTTGCTCGCAAAGTGAGCCTCTCCCAGTCCCAAGTTCTACCACTAGACGTGTTGAAGGTGTGGTATTGAATGTGAACACAACTTCGGTTTTGCAGAGGGTGTTCTCTGGGTGCATTTGTCGTCCTTTCTCAGTTTCCTCTTGTGCTAATGCCACCCGTAACTTCCCAACGCATTTCTCTCCTTAATGACACATGGTCTTTCAGCCAGCTCCTTGTGTCTCCCACCCCGAAGACTCAGCTGGAGGGCTTCTGACCCTTAAACCCTGACCAGTAGCTTCTACTTGCCAAGGTAGATGCAAAAATATCTAACGTTCTATGTGCTCCTAGATGGATTCTGTTTGTATAGCATATTTACATTAAAGGAGGAAACCAAGACGAAACACCCAATCTCAAAACGGCTGTCTGTTGACTATGGCGTCAGCCACAATCGTCCTTGTTTGATGCTCTGAAGATTTTCTGCATGTCCAGGCTTATTCCTATTATACTTCAATATGACAATGATGAAACCACTGGATCTTGAATATCCTGGAAAAAAAAATCTTTGGACATTCAATGTGCTTTGAAAAAGAAAAGCTAAACCCGCAAGCTAAGTAAACAGCAGTAAGAGTGAAATCACCAGGTAATAACGAAATGATTAGATTGAAAACCTCCCATTGTTTTGGACTGCACTGAATACAGGTGCTTTGTATTTAAGGGACCTAAGTGCCTGATAATGAATTTTGAAATAGCCAGAGAGGAACATCTGAACACCTGTGTCTCTGGAAATTGAGTTGATCTAATTAAAATACCCAAGTAAATAAATAAAACTGGAAAAATTTACAGCATTTTTAGGAAAAATGAGCCCTCACTTTACACAAAAAAGAGGAAAATGTGCTATGAAAAATTCCAGATGTGTGAAACTTTGACAGGTTATCCTAGAGTGGGTTCTTTTTCTTCTCCAGCTGTGAGTGACCCCGTCACCAATTATCCATCTATTCCACCCATCTAGAGGTGTAGGCATGGCTTAGCTGAGCTCTAACCAAGATGAAAAGTAGGGTGGCTGACCAGGGCAGGTAGGAGGAATGCCCCAGGGCTCCACAGGGACCCTGGAGGAAGGAGTTCCTGAGAAGGAACAAAGCCAGATATAGGAATGTGATAGTTAACAAGCGGTTGAGACATAAGACTGGACTTTTCTCTCTATAAGAAAGTAAGGCATCTCTGTAACACAGTCAGTAGGGTGATTGTGTCACTTATTTTAAGAATGAGATCTTTTTCTGACTCTGGGGGCCAGAACAAGACCAACAAGTGGCCCTAACAGTGACTCAGACTTGGCTTGACAGGAAGGTTGTCCGTGGAAGGTAATGAGGTTTCCTCAAGGATGCGATGTTTAGCTAATGGCTGGAAGGCTGGTTGCTGACCACGACCAACCCAGAGACCTTCTTAAGGCCTCCAGCCCTGAGAGCCGGGCAATGTGTGAAGCTCCTGCCCAGGACCCACGTGGGCATGCAAGTCTCAGTACTCGCTGGAGAGCAGAACTTTCCAAAACAGCATCCTCACAGTGTTCCCCAGACACTCTGGCTAGAAATGTAAATACATGTTTGCTTCCAACTTAGGTTTCAGCCGAAGTCTCAAAATTGTTAAAGCCTTTTAGAGTGAAGGGTCATGTCACTAAATTTATCTGTTCCAGTAACTGAGTTATGAATATTATCACTGCAACATTACACACAACTTTAGTACTATTTCTTTGGGGGGGGGAGTCGGAGTCTTACTCTGTCGCCCAGGCTGGAGTGCAGTGGCCGCTCCTAGCCACCGCAGCCTCGACCTGCTCTGGCAATCTTTCCGCCTCAGCCTTCCAAGTAGCTGGAACTACAGGTGCGCACTATCACGCCCGGCTGATTTTTGATTTACTGTAGAGATGAGGTCTCGCCAAGTTGTCCAGGCGGGTCTCGAACCCGTGGGCTCAAGCAATCCACTCACCTCGGCCTCCCAAGGCGCTGGGATTACAGGCTGAGCCACCGAGCCCGGCTAGTACTAGTTCTTTCAACAGCGTCACACATCTGCCACACTATAGTTCACAAATTGCAAGAAGGTAGTTTTAAAATTCCTCCACTCTAAAGTAGTGCATAAAAGTTAACAGCAGACTCATCAGATCTACAAGTGAAAATACGAGAACACAAACATGTGCCGATTTCCCTCAGGAGGAGACACTAGGTTGCTCCTCTTTTTGGTTAGTGATCTGCCTCAAACCCAAAGGCCCAATCTATCTTTCAACAGCCAAAGATAATCTTGACCTGAAACTTTCTTTTTGGAATCTTCTCAGTTACCTAGGGCGTTTGGCTCACTTTCAAAACTGAAGATACTTGGACTAACAGGAAACGAGTTCCATTCCTTCCCGGAGGTAGTCTTCTCATTAAAGTCCCTGGAGAAGCTGTACATTGGCCAAGACCAGGGGCTCAAGCTCACCTGTGTGCCAGAAGACATCGGGAAGCTGCAGGTAAGACCCTCAGATGAGCAGGCGGGAGGCACCCGCAGGGACCCTCCCAAGGGCTGACGCTGAGGACACCGGGCATCCCCACCAGTGGAGGCGCGATCGGCCGTGCCGGGCGTCCAGCCCCAAAAAAGCAGTCGGCTTGTACTCCAGGGCTCGCGCCATCCCTGGACAACCCCCCCAGCGCTATTGTGATAGCCGTTGGGTATGTCACCTGCACGTGGCCCTGGGTGGTGTGGCATGCTTCACTTACAGACTTCTCTCCATCTCAGTTCCACTTTTTATAAACAGCCCTCTGACAATGGGCCTGTTTTGAAAGTAGCATACAGGTGACATGGCTGGCAGCCTGCATTTGGTGCCAGGGTTCCCCATAGGGGCAGAGTGGCCTTCCTCCCTGCTGGGAGAAGGAAAATCGTGTTGCACCGGCTTCGTGCTGAAGGTGGGTGCAAGAAATGTGTGGGATCCCAGCAAAGCAACAGGATAATTTCATCCAGAGTAGCACACTTGCAAGTCTTCCTATGTGCCTGTACAGATTCATTCAAGGCAGCATACTCACACATCTTCACATAAGCATCTTGTACAGAACTGTCATTTTTTAATGTTCCCATTACTGCATTCTTTTCTTTTTCTTTTTCTTTTTTTTTAGAGATGAGACCTTGCCAAGTTGCCCAGGCCAGTCTCGAACACACAGGCTCAGGCAATTCTCTCACCTCGGCCTCCCAACCTGCTGGGATTACAGGCATGAGCCACCACACCTGGCCTACTGCATTCTTAATGAGGAGGAAGCAGTTGTGGGCCACTCCGTCACCCCCAGTTGTATAATGGTGTGTGCAACACAGCTGACTCTCACCCCGACTCAGGGCACCCATATCCATTCCTTTAGTCTGTGTTCACAGAACACCAAGCATCCTCTCACTCTGCACGTGTCATGCCACAATGCAAATGTTACATTTTTGCCCAACATCTGTGAAGTTGAAAATAGTTACTCTGAATACGCTCGAACCCATTCTCTGCGCATTTGGCTACTCCCACTTGGGCGAGGTAATTATAATTCTGTAGCAACGGCCATAGCTAATTAGCTATTAAGCCAGGAGCGGCCACTGCACTCCAGTCTGGGCGACAGAGTGAGACTCCAACTCAAAAAAAAAAAAAAAAAAAAAAAAGGGAGCATTAGCTGGGCATGGTGGCATGCGCCTGTATTCCCAGCTACTCAGGAGTGAGGTGGGAGGATCGCTTGAGCCCAGGAGTTGGAGGCTGCAGTGAACTACGATTGCGCCACCGTACTCCAGTCTGGGCAACAGAGTGTGACCTTATCCCAAAAAAGAAGGAGATGTGGGAGGTGGGTAGAGAGGGGGAGGAAGAGGAAGGGAACAATTGATAAATGTAGTTAAATGCTCCAAATTATGTTTCCATATAGTTCTAGCAAAACAAATAAGCACTAGATTCTCATACTCTCTTTTCCCTGCATAAATGGAAACCAAGTAGAGTGGCTTTACTTCAACGATAATTTTATTTCTTGATGATGACCCTTTAGATGTTTTTTCCGTTTGCCCCAGGGCATAGTTTCCCCTTGAAAGTGCACAGGCGCCCACAGGTGACCCGGTTGTTCTAATTCACCTGTCACCGTGTGGTTCACGGTACCCTGCTCTCATGCTTTCCAGAGCCTTAAGGAGCTGTATATAGAGAACAATTGCCTGGAGTGCCTGCCCGTGTCCTTGGGGTCCATGCCCAACCTGGAAGTGCTTGACTGCCGGCACAACTTGCTTAAGCAACTTCCAGAAGCCATTTGCCAAGCACAAGGTGAGGACGCGTGGTAGACCTGTGGCCCAGCAGAGCCAGGGGCAGCATTTCCTGTGATAGGTGGCTTCTGTCATTCCTAAGGACGGATCCCTGTGTTTGGAGAGCTGAGCCCTGGCCCTGGCTTCCGCGCAGAGCTCACTAGTGGCACGGGAGGCCAGGGGCCCTGATGAGTTCAGTGGCGAGTATCGCAGAGGCAGTTGAGTTGCCTGCTGGGAATTGAAAAGAAAAGTTAACAGCAGCTGCTGAGAAAACCAGCATGCATTCGCACGTTCGTTGCACCACCAGCAATCGTTTGCCAAATACAGACGCCAGAGTTTGGAGTTGGGGTCCTGAAGTAAAATTTCACCCAGGTCACTAAGTCACCAGAATACTAGATAAAGTGCTGACCCAGAGTGGTTGGATCAGCAGGGGACCTTTGGAGCTACATGGCTGTCGTGGAAAATCAAATATGATTCCTGTGTAAACCCCCAAGCATCTTCCACTAGAGGAAGACATTCATTATCTGTGCGCCACCCCTCCATCCATCCTTCCATCCTTCCGGCCGTCTGTCCATCCATCTGATTGTTCTTCCTCCCTCCCTCCCTTCCTTCCTTCCATTCACCTTTCGTCCGTCTGTCCGTCCATCCATCTATCCACACATCCTTCCTTCCATCCACCCACCCACCTGCCTGCCCACCCCTGACTCATCCGTCCACTCATCCACCCCCCCGTCCATCCATCCTGCTGTCCATCCATCTGTCCATCCATCCACTTAGCATGCTTTTGCTGAGCACCTACTGGGTCCAGAGTTTAAAGTGTTTTCTGTCAAATGTGCTGGCACATTTCTAAACCACAGCTGTTCTTTTTTTTTTTTTGAGTTGGAGTCTCACTCTGTCACCCAGACTGGAGTGCAGTGGCAC